GTGTCAAACAAGTCAGAAATCTTAACGTAAAATCACATTGTGTAATAAGTATTAACACTAATTTTACAAAAGCAAATAGTTTAAAAAATGCAAAATATTATTATATCAATAAATTAAATAAAGGGCCTTAACTGCGCAAATGACTATTTACCGATTCGCGGACACGTCTTGCAACAGACAGATAAATACGATTTGGAATTATGAAATTAAAAAAGACATGTGACGTATAGATTGCGTGTATTGGTCTCAGTTTCCATTTACTTATTATTTTCTTCCAATTTTAGCGTATTTAAAATCAAAATTCTATAGAGTCATAATGTTTTATTTTCTTTGCCTTTTTCAGATGACGAAACACGGTCCAGGAAAATCTCATGATAATGAGAACTTGCCGGATAATTTTATCGCTGAACAGATTTGAAGTACTTGGATGACGTTATATTTCCCTCTACATGTAATAGAAATTAGTATAATTGAATGTGCTATGAATTAAAACAAACATATAAAAACGATATAAATTCCGACAACTGTATGGTCGGGTTTAAATAATTATGCACATTGCAACTTAGGCTAAAAACAGCAAAGAGAAATATTAATATTTAGAATATTATTTAGAATGAGGTTATTATCATTATTTTTGTTTATATCACTTTCATTGATTCCGACAGATTGTATTGATTTACCATTATTTGTTTGTTTGTTTGGTTTTAATTTAGGTCGTATGGCGCCGGAACAGGAAAACCTCGGGTGTTACAATCCTACTGAAACTAAGAGAAGCATAGACACCAGATATCCAATCTCACTTAGTCGCCTCTTACGATCACTAATAAACGGTGCAAGTCGGATGTTTCAACCGTTAAAGGAAACCTCTAAGCTACATAAAATATCTCCATTACCCTATCTCGAAAATTTCAATTTCTCCCAACCTACAGTTGGATTCTTTAACTTTAAGATTTTGTAAATGTAAAATAATGGTTTGCACATTAATAAAAGTGATTTTCTTATTTAAGACAATTGTGTGAAAGTGTATTCGATTCGTCATCGACTGTAGTCAACAAATCAACAAATCCTTGATTAAATGAGAACACAGCATATGACCTGCAGGTATTGAATTTTAAGGGATCAATTTTCTTTTCGAGTGATCAAAGTTTAGCAGGGTCTTTTGATACATTCTTAAGGGCGACGAATAATGAGTTATAATTATCATATCCTAAGAACATGCATTTTGAATAAGCCCTATGAGACAGATTTAGATTTATCTATATGAAAACTGCAGCAAACGTTCTCAATATTTCTAGGTTTCGCAAATTTAATTTAAGACATAACCTCTGTTAAAACTTGATGAATATCCAATAGAAATGAATTTATTAATTCAGTATGTTTAGTCGTTGACATTCTTCTTTGTTAACTTGAAGTTGATGCATGTGCTCCTTCTCATGGTCTCGGGTTACAAATGAAACTTCAGGCATGATATACAAGACACTTACGTGACAAATCGTTGTCAATCATACCTTAAAATACTTTTGAATCATTCAAAGTAATCAATTATGGATTCGTTACATGGTAAATGTCATTAGAATTTCTCAAAATACTACCAAAATATGTTTTAACTTGATGGACCTTTTGGACATCAATCATTCTGTCGTAAAAGTAAATAATGCAACCAGAAATAGAGTTCTGATTCATCACTCACTAAGTAAATGCAAATTATCAGACTAACACAAAATCAATGACGGTGAATATTTGCATTTATCTCAGGTCCTTGCTCACATTTTATGTGTTCTGACGTTCAAATATTTATGAAATTGTATGCTAAATTTTGCAATACATTATTTCCTTGTTTAAACACTACACACTGTATTGTACTGGGAAAAAGCAAGTGTCATGCACTTCATCTCACAGTTGTTATATTTAACTTATTCTCCCAATAATTATTGTGCAATCAAAATTGCACGCAAAGTACTTCTTGTTATAGCTTCACATAACATCACCAAGATGGCAGACTTAAATAAAGGTTCCTTCAATCTGTTTAATATATTTTGTTTTTCCATTTTTGTTAAATCGCTGACGAATTAACAAAATGTCAACACTTATTAGAGATTCTGATACCTTGCGCACGTTTTCAGCGTATGTCTATATTTATATATATTTTTTGGGGGGTTGTTTCGTCAGTGAATATTTTGTAGAACTCTTTGAACGTTGTTATCCCATGTCGTTATGCTAATTTCTTATCTAGTTTACAGTTGCATCCCTTCAAGTGCAGCTTTACTCGTTATAGTATTGTATACTTTACCATATAACACGTGGTGAGAAATAAATTTACATGTATCTTGAAATGAAAAAAAACGTGTCATATGAGTCATATCAGTTTTCCTCAACAATTTTGAGAAATACGGAACATCATTGCAAATCATTTTCCTACATTAACCTTGGAAAAAATATGTATTTTTAATGAACTTACTGCAAACAAGTGAAAAAGAATGTCAAAACAGGCGCCTTTTAAAAATAGCAACGTCAAAATAAAATTTACAATAACATCTTTTTTAAGGAAAAGATTGTGCAGAAAATGTTGCGAATGTTGTTTTATATAGAGAGAAATCACAGTTGGAAGACTGTGTTTTAAAGAAGATTCTCTGAATATCTTTGTATTCCAAAAAATACCGCGTTAAAAGTTTTGTAAAATATGATATACAAGATCAACAACAAAAGTTTAAAATCTAAAACAAGGAGGTTCTATCTATGCCAGTGATTTTTTATTTCGGTTTTTACAGATCATGGTTTTCCTGAAGCAGAAACATCTGATTATAAGTGATTTGATTCAAAAGAAATTGAAGGAAAACTGTTCATATTATATGTAGAATTCTGAAACGTTGTCCCCTTTCGTTTACAAATTGTTGACTTGCTCTATGAAGCTCTTTTTAACCTGTGTATTTGGAAACAAGATATCATGTATCTTTTTCAACTGTCTTGTATAAACTTGAAAGTGATAAAACATTACAACTTTTATAATACCCGTATAATGTATAATAATAAGTACCTGGAAGATTAAAACTCCTAACACGTTCACAAACATGAAACGTCGAAAAATGTCACGTCCTAGTCCAAGACTGTATCTTTAATTCTTCAATGGACCCTCTTTTTTGTTCATATCCAACCTTGCAACAAAAACTTCCTGTATGCTAATTCATCTATTATTATTATTATTATTATTATTATTCTTATTATTATTATTATAGTGGAATGACGCATTACAATTTCAGAATGTTTTAGCTTTTATGCCTTAACTAACATCAAGATATAATGTAGAGTTTGATCATTATCATCGAATGATATGCTCTTAGTAAAACAGCTATATGTGCAGTAATCATTGCAGTTCATGGCGTAATTTCGTATTTGCCAAAGCAAGTCAGAGTTAACACGTATTTTCTGGTTTTCTGTAAAATAGAAAAAAATGTTTTCGAAATTCTTTCTTCATTAATAATCTGGAGGATGATAAATAAACTTGAAAAAATACACATAAGATTGACCTAATAAAACATTTGCTGACAAGTGAAACGCACTAATATTGTTTTTATGTAAGGCAGACAATTTTTCCTACGGAAATATTATTTATTTTCTAAGTGACGTCAAGATGTTCGAAGTGTTTCTTTCCTCTGATATAATCATTATTTGTTGAATATATTGAATGATGCTGTAATAATTGGGGATAATAAATATTCAATAGTCTAGTGAGTGGAAGGAAAATTATGACTTTTTGATATTCCAAGACAAAAAAACGGAGTAAATTTGATTTCTTTTATGTCCTAAATAGTATACTCATTTTTATGATATTTATGATTATCATATTTATCTTTTACTATTCTCCCTATTTATTAAACCTTCTAATATATACTTAAATGATGTTTTTTCAGTTGACAATTTTATACATTAATATAACAAATATCTGGGTTGTATCTTTAGCATAATAATTTATCGATCTAAAGTTTTGATACTGATATATTAGCAGCACCATGCTAAAGTCCATGCTTAACTTTGAACATTAGTGAAGGGGGGGTAGCGGAACTTAAAGAAAGAATGCAGAGTGTTTGCCTATTATCAGACATGGAGTCTATTAAAGCTGCTAACCTTGGATGCGTGTTCGATGAAATTGTAGGATGGTATTCATGTAGATACTGAATTGAAGAGACAGTTGAAGATGACAACTTTACTGCAGTAAACAAATCAATGTGATCTGATTAATAAAAATTTCATTTCATAATCTGTAAAATAAAATGTGATAAGAATCAAGATAATGAAAGACCCCAAGACAAACTTATCTATTGGTCTTATATTTATTTTTTTCACGTGAGTGGAAAGATAATTTTTAGCTGGTTATGACTCTTCTTTCTCTATGCGCTGAATGTTTTCAATATTGCATTCACCATGACATACACAGTGCCATATTTTTCATGAATTCAATATGGATATTCTGTGTTTTAATTACCCGTTAAGATATACAGAGTCGTTATGTGTTATGTAGTTCTTATACAGATTGCTACATTTTTTCACATAGAATATTCAAGTTTGATTGGAAGTCTCAATGTCGTTTGCAAAAGAGACCTTACTTAAAACGTTCCACAAGAATATTTTTATCATCCAAATCAAATGGTAGTATTTGTGCGAATTATAAAAAGGAAAGTATTTAGGAAGCAAGCGATTGACATAGTGGATATATTAAAAAGTATTTATTAATATAACTTAGGAATTGTTAGTTTATTTTTAGAATTATTTTAGTTCGATTGTGTAGGAATGTATAAGGCTATAGCACACTCTCAAATTTGTTCGTAGCACCAGCCAATACTGAGCAATGTGTGTAAAGTTTCATGCTCAGTGAAATAACGGCTTGACCCTGACTGAACCCACATGGCTTGCCATCCTTAGATTGCTAGTCTGATACATAACCACTGGGCAATGCCTCAAGAACTGTCTTTTTTAATGTAAACAGAACAAAGGCAAGTCAAAAATCATTCCTCTTGTTTTAATGATCACTATTAGTATTCGTTATCAATTACAAACATAATCTATCTCATGGCAACCTTAACACATAGTTTATATTCAATACTCTTCAAAAAGTATGTATTAATATAATCTTGTTTTACAATTTGTTCTTTAAAAAACATCTCAGTTAGCAATTTTGTTGTTTGTTTTTTGGGGTTTTTTTCTACATATTAAGTAATATTCATAACACCGCTCAAGATTTAATGAAGATAATGAAGAATGTTCAAGAAATTATATCCTACGATGTTGATATATTGAATGGACTACAACACGTGTCTTATAATACATTTCTTTACATGTATTTTCTATGCCAATCATCCCGAATCAATCATGTAACATTTATGTCATACCTTTCAAAGTTTACTACTTAATAAAATATTTCAAAAAATTCTAAGAATAATAATATCTAAAAATATAAAACGAAAGCACTATGGAAAACAAATTTTTATGCACATCTACTCAATTCCAAACATAGTAAAAAAACCTCTAATTTTAATTGCTTATGATAACAGATTCTCCATTCTACTTGGTCAACTATGAATTATCTTATTCTCACGAAAGTTGGCTGCTTTCCTTTTTTTACATTTACGCATGACAAGGGTTGATGACACATTATACAGAAACACTGGCACACCATTACAATCAATGAAATGTTAACAAACAAATGATAGTCTATGTTTTCTAATTGACACAATGAATTATCATATGCTCTCATGTTCCTGAACAATACATCTTTATACATGTACAGATTTCACATACCGAATTTAAATACTTCATGTAATGTAACATATAATGCTTTTGTCTCAATAGCATTTTATGGCAAAGTAAGAGCGTGATAGTTACATAATCTACACTAATCATTTATTATAATAACGGTAATTAATGATGACGACGAAGTTGATAATTAAGTGAGATACATAAATAAAATGGTTCATACTTAATTCATTGTATATGAGCATAGTAAAATACTAGTGTTGTCAAGGACAAACCCGGTTATATCTTTTATCATTCTTAAACTGGTTCACACTCACACATAGTGCATTACTAACATAGGTGTCTAATATCAACATTCACTAAGGAATCAAATATTTGTTTTATTCACACTATAAAACATTTATCATTCATACCTTTTCGTGTTTAATTTAATCCCTTCGTTAAAGAGATAAATACATTTAAATATTTTTTTTATAATCCTGTTTTAATTAAACAGTTATTTGGAGCGATCTTTAAGGATTTCATTTTTCTCTTTTCTGCACAAACTAATCATAACATTTCAATCAAGCACATACATCTGGTACGTTACATCGTATATCATTCTTAAAATATTACCAAATAATTATTTACATCTTATTCCATTTACATTTAATAACAACAACATATGCATTCACATAATTAACAAAAATCAACACATAAACATTAATGCTATCAATCACATTGATATGAATAAAGGCAATTCAATAACAAATGTTAATATGAAATTATCAATACTTCGTTAACAAATAAAAAACACAAGTAAATCTAAAAAACAATTAACAGAGCACTCTCTAAAGTTGTTTTTCCAATTGCTCAATACAAATCACAGACTCTTTAGACGTTATACAATATCATGACGAAAAGAATCGAGGATTTAAAGGACATAAGAAATGTCTGAACTAAATATTCACCAATATTTACCACGAATTGAGCTTTACACGATAAAAAGAACTGAAACCAGTAATATGCATTTTGAACATGAAGATGCTCCGACATAGTACTTCGTTTTAAAATATTTTCCACGTCAAAAGAACGAGAAACCTACTATGCTCAATTGCATTTAGCATTTGAATTGTAACAACAGTGTAAATGCAAATTAAAGGTTTAAATTAGATGAACTTGATTTCAGATATAAAATTGACATTGTTATGTTACTGGTGGACTAATTATATTCCAGAAAAAGATATATGATTAATACATTTACTCAAGTAAATTGTCAAGGCTATAAATAACTTTAGCATTGCAGATGAAAAAGATGTACATGTATAAGAAATGGCGATTAATATTAGATTAATGTAAACGCTGTACCAGGACGTATTTCTCGTGGTGTTTTATGAGCTACAGTCTACGCTATACCTTCCCTTAATGTTTGTAGATCGCGTAAGTGTTACAATTTCAAAATATCCCGCTACTAGTAATGTAAACTATGTTGGTTCATTTGCAATTTATTGTAGTTAAGTTTGAAAACCTATGAACATGTATTACAATTCCCAGTGTTTTGGAAATCTATCTCAGGTTGCAGGTATTCGATATCTTATTCAAATACTCTATTAATTTTCTTGCAATTATTAGAAAGAAATAGAAAGTTTACTTTAAAAACTACGTAATTGCATAGATTATCTTACCAAAGGCAAAGGACGACCATTGACTTGCAAAATGGAAAGCATTAATAGACATTTACAAACTAGATTGTAAAGCTTCAGATGGTAAAATATACTTCAGAAATATCCGCGTCTTTACAATAACGCTGTCTTGTCATTTTAAATGTTATAAAAAGCTATATATTTGTTGTATAATGCATATTGATTGCATGTGAAAACAGATTAAAACTTATCCTTATAGATAAGAATTACTATGTAATGTGCTCGCCTTTTGATCATGTTCTTTTATTGCAGAATGATATTGAAATCTAAGAGATTCTTACTGAACATGTCTAATTTGAACAAGGGAATGCACTGTAACACCGCAAAACGTCCGTACCGCAAAACGTACGCGTGTGGACGTTTTGCGTCGCATATCGTACACATGTGAACGTTTTGCGGTGCATATCGTAATTGATAGCATTACTGTGTCTTTGCGTCGCATATCGTCCATATTAAATAAATAAAAACTATGATATTGAAATAAATGTAATTTTATAGACATACAGAAAAGGACGGCTATACGGACGGACGAACCGGGGATTGGACTGAGTGAATGACAAAAAATATTAAAACTAAGCTTTGCTTTTGACAATAGCTTTTCATATAATTGCATGAAGAAGTGGGAATGATTTTTTGTGTTCTTGTTGACTTTGGAAGTTTGGTTATTGAACACCTGTCTATAAAGGCTCCACATGACAAGGGTAGATGATAGCATTGAATATTACAAATAAAAGCAAGTACATTTCATGTACTTGGTCAGAATCTGGGTAACTGATATCAGTACTCAATTCTACGTCTGAAATGGTTATTAATATCCAAATATCTGTAAATGACAAAGATATGTTGTTTTTTTTGTTGTTGTTTTGTTTTGTTAGATTTAGCCTATAATCTAACTTTGTTGAGATTTTATGGTCATAAATATTCTGTTGAAATTGTCAAGATTGAAGAAGAAATGAAAGCGCTGGAGTGGTAACAATGTGAAATATAACAGATATTGTAATTCAAGGGCAGATAACTCTGGACATATTGCTAAGAGTATGATATGTGGATGCTGGAGTGGTAACAAGCTAATTTGGACGGACAGAGAGACAGGCGCATACTCAGGTGAGAAAACATTAACACACAATAACACCTGATAATAACTGGTCAAAATTAACGAAAATTATATAAACTAAGATATGGACGTTATAAGGCAGGACCATGCCTTTTTGTCGCAAAATGTACGTCAGAAAAATGTGGACGATATGCGCCGCAAAACGTCCATATACGTACGTTTTGCGGTACGGACGTTTTGCGGTGTTACAATGTACACCCTAAGCTGTCTTTTAATGGTTAACTTGATCCTTTGGTCCTGTCTTAAAAAACTGCCAGTTTTTTATGACACAATAATTTTAGACTTAGTTTACCGGTAAAGAATAGAGCTTAAAACGAAAATATCATTCCTGTGTGTATGCAAAAGATGTATTTTATATTTAAAAGGAACTATTTAGAAATCATCAAATTATTAAACATCAAATTAGAGCATATCAATATATGTTTAAATATTTAATTTTCCTTTTATTAGGTTAAACGATGACTTCGAGCATCTGTCATCCTTACTTATGCAATGTACTTTATTTTATATGCGTTATCATTCTTCAAACACATATTAAACTTGAAGTAACCCGCTGTGAAATATAGCTTTATACCCTTAACGTTTGAGACAGATAGAAAGGCATATTTACATAACTAGTTAATAGTTTATGTTTATCGATATAAACATGTATATCCTGCATTGCTTAAAGAACTCCCGAATTTTAAAGGTAATAACACATTTTGAAAGAGTGACCATTAGATCATTTAGTGAAGGGACTGCATGTTTTTGTTAGGCTGTTATAAAAAAAGATTTTCAATAAACTTTACAAAATTCCTTTCATTTATAAAATAAGAAAGTTTAGTTCTTATAGATAGTATAAAGTCGATTTGAAAGTGTTTGAGTGTCGCATTATTTTTCTTTATTTCATCAATTATCATCATATCTCGTCACTATCAGGCTCGCTGAACAGCTCACTGTTCAGTTGGTCTAGAAAGTAACTCCAGTAGACAATATTGAACAATCCAAACAGAACTGGAAACATTATCCTGGATCCCACATCACAATACATAGCATAACGTACACCACTGCTTAACTTTTTCTGTTTCTGAAGTTTACCATAACTTGTTTCTCCTCCATTTTCGGGATCCCGGAAATCGTCTTTTTCCTTCTGAAAATATGATATTGTTTTGTTATATTAATAACCGTTCTTCTGTGTTTATTTCAATGTAAAATAGAGATAAATAAAGAATCCCTAAAGAAAGCTCAGCAAGACAAAATTAAAAATGTTGCAGACTCGGTTTGATTTAGCCTAATAATGGCTAGTAATGGAAAGTGCAAGTTATCGCCCATGCCCTATAGCACCAGCTAAGGCAGAACTCAACATTTATCATAATTATAGTGAAATTTCCGCAAGTCAACCCAAACATATCAGATACTTTATTTGTTTTTCTCCATATATACGTGACAATCTTAAGTTTATTGGCGTTCTGTTGTCGTCGTTTTCGTTGCAACAACAAGCACCATGACAAGACAAATACAAGTGAAATGAGATTATTGTCGATAAGAAGCAGTTGAGTATAAATCAGACATTGCTATGAAAAGGTTCTTACCTCTTTCGATTCTCTTTGTGTACCCATCCTTGGAATGCTTAGAATATTTTTAAACTTAAAACCTTTATTTGTGTCTTTTCTCATCAAAACATTAGCAACTGCAAATTCTATAAGAGCAAAGAATACAAACATCAGACACGTGACCATCCATATATCTATGGCTTTTGTATAGGACACGTGCGGAAGTGACGCATTCACGCCAGAGCTCTGCGTTGTCATAGTTAGGACAGTCAATACACCAAGGGAAATACGTCCCGGTACAGCGTTTACATTAAGCCAGAATGAAATCCACGATAACATTACAACAAGAACGCTAGGAATGTACATCTGTACGAGGTAATATCCGATGTTTCTGGCAAGTACAAATTCAACTGTCAGGCGACTGTGATTTCCTACAAATAATAAATTATTATTGTTCATAATTTGAAATATTAAATAATGGCACAAATACCTTATTTAGTTTATCTAGTATTTCAATAATTGCTTTCACGAAATTTAGTTTGATTCCAATGGTTTTGCAGTGCGACTCAGATAAACATGAATAAATCTGCATAAGATCATTGTCAATTGGTTTCTACAGGACTGTGCAAAAACAAGCGTACTTTTTGTATTCAACTTGAAAAGTATTGAAACGTATTGTAAACTTCTTTAACGTTGATATGAAGTCATACAGACGACTACCCTTACCAAGGTCTCTTCTCCTAACTTTGCTTTCTTTTGTGTCGATTCTTAAGACTTCGAATTGTGGCATCTGTTTGGTACTTTCATCTAAATGAACTGGACCCTCAGTATTTTCAGTAGCGTTGTTTTGAGTCCAATTTAGCAATATATTCCCATCGTTATATGAAACTGTATAAGATGAACACAATGTTGAGAGTATAAAAATTGCGAAAACGTTGTGTTATGTGAAAGCAAGACACAAATGTAGGTCATATCTGTTGTCATATTGTGAATAAAATATCATTCCGAAGTAATTATATTTTAACATTCTGTTATTTTGTTATGTAAATATATAATAAGAAAGGTATACATGTATGTAGATGAAAACAAAGATCACAAAGATCAAAGATGCTTTAATAAAGTCCTAATTTATGTCTTCTTTAACTACAGATGTACTTTTAAATAAAGGCATTTAGTTGTATTGCTCTGTTCAATGAAATATAATTATCATTAATAAGTATAAAGTATTAAGAACTGTAGGCAAATATAATTAAGCAATTTAGTATATACTTTCCAAATCACACATCTTAAATTTTGTCCAATCTTACAGTTACATGTAACCTATCTTTTGGGAAAGACGAAAATGAGATATTATTCAATAAACATTTTGATAATATTGTTTTAACAAAATACTTACAACTCTCCATCATAATCATACAAATCTGTTTATCAAACGGATAATTCCGAAAGTTCATTGGACAACTGAGAGTTAATGAAAGTCTGAAATGAAAAATAAAGCATGTAATTGTCATAGAGCCACAAGAAAAAAGTGTTCATGCCTGACAAAATGCGCGGAGGTGCACTCGAGGGCTTCCACCACCAGTATAATTGTATTGTAAGGTCACCATATGTCATCCTGTGACGTAATGTGGCGTTGATGTAACGTAAAATCCAACCAACCAAGAATTCGTGGGTTTAGTGTTTAATAGTGAAATTGGTAATATTTATTTTGAGTTAGTCAATAATGTTGCTAGTAAAGTAAGCTCTGCGATAAGAGGCATATATTTTGCAAAACAAAACTTACTTAAAAACTGTAATTCAATAACACATTTGTGATTAATTGGAAAATGATAAGTTTGAATAAAACACTTTACCATGGTAAAAAACCAGCTTTTGCGTTAGAATAGTTTGAGATAAAACTCAATGGGCAATTTACATAAAACTTAACAATGGATATAAAACATTTTATTTGGATGTATATAAATATTGAACATATTCTGCTAAGGTGCCAAAGGATGTGATATCAAATAATATTTTGATAAAACAGATATTTCATTTATTCATTTATTGGTGAGCTGATGACCGAACATTTGCAGTGATATTTATTGTCTTGTTTCCCTCTGATTGGAATATCAAAATATTGATAATAAAGATTTTTCTTTTACTTCATAAAACATGTTTGGATATGATGGTGTATATTGTTCCTTTTGTTCTCCGGAAACTGATTGATTTCCTAGCTGAATAGGACGTTATTGTTATTTTCATCAGGCGTTTTAATGACAATGTCATGCAATATATTCAATCAATTAGGAGAGTAAAATGAATAGTTATGCTATTAGGTTACACCATCTAGAAGACACCCGATTCCAGGACCAAAAAGAAAAAGCAATAATAATCAATTCATATTTTAACTGTAGTAAAAATTCTGAACAAGTCTAATCAAAACAATTTAAAACAACATTTAATTAAATACGAATCTATATACTTTAAATATCTACCTATTTATTGCTAGAAGAAGTCTCAGTAATATTGATGTACATGTACAATGGAAAGATACAAGTTGTACTGTTTGTTTTAAAATGATAAACAAACTTTAAATTACTAGTATACATAGTATACATGCATGTATGATATATATTACTCCTTTACAGAAGCAAATAATTTCTGTAAGTTGGTGCTTTATTTTTCTCTGCTTTGTATATATTTCACAGGACATATTTAAGACCAATATTAATTTAATTCGATCTGATTTATTCAATTGATTATTTTTATATCATTTGTAAATGAACTGGATAAATCTACTTATAGCCATTTTATTTTAAACGAAAATAGAAATAATACATTTTATGTGAAATCTTATATTCAAACGGACAGACAATAACTTTGAATCGAATTATTACAATCATAAACTTTCAAGGACATAACTTTAAACGAACTTGATTAGTTTGGAGTTTTTGTGTGTGTTTTGTTGTTTTTCACTTTTGTTTATTAAGAAAATGTTTCATGTCAACCAAGCCGCGCTGTTTTCCAAATTACAGAAAAAAATGAAAATGAGGAAATTTGTTTGAATGTTTCTGATTGGTACACTGATTTTTTTCTTCAATTAAAATGTTTTATGAATCATGATTTGTAATCATATCATCTAACGGAAACAAACAGACAGAGTTTGACTTACCTTGTTGAATAGGAGACGTTTCCGCCTTTATAAATTCGTAGCATTTTATTCGCCATAAGTACATTATGATAATATGCCCTCTTTTCATTCGGAAAATAAATGTCAGGAACCCAAAGTTTTTCCAGATTTTTGGCATCAATTTCGACATATCCATCATCAATTGATTTAATATCATAGTCGCTGAATCGATGATCATACCAACTTAAATGCAGTAATATAGTTGCAGTTAAATCCTGAAAAAATAAAACCACTTAGGTACATATGATTTCCTCATAAACTATTACTTATATCATTAATGCATATTCGAGAGATAAAATATTTATGCATAAAATTAATTACCTGTCTGGAAAAGTAATACAGATAAAGAATCAAACTTGAGTGCACGATCGGATGGAAATAGAAATAAAACATAATCACCGTTTTGTAAAATGAACCCAGCACAATACGTTCAAATAATTCAACAAAGTTATAGTGTATTATATGAGCCGAATGTTCATAGTATGAGAACTGTAAAATGTATCCAAAAGACAAAAAAAGTAAAGCTTTTATGTAATTCAAGTGTGTGTGTTTTTTTGTTGTTTTTTTTTATTTTTGCACATATTTTACGTACCATATTTGCTTCGTCGATGGAATCAAAATTTTCAATATGTAATTCACAGCTTATTTGAGTAGGTACATCTGAAAAATAGAATTAAGATTAAATGAAACTATCTACTTTAAAACATTAATAGATCTTCAAAATGCTTTCATTGAAATTCATTCATGATAAATGCTTAAAATTTGTAAGACATATAATCTAAAGTAAATTTCAATTTTCGCAGTTTCAACACTTTTTGGACATCCGGTGAAAAATAAAAAACAAAATGCTTGATTGTCTTTTATTCTAGAAATGTATGTGTGTTCTTCATAAAAAGATTTCTACAAACATAGATAGTAATTAGATATACATTGTAATCTTAAACCGAAGAAAATTAGTTTAAGCAACAAAATATTGAAATATGAGTTATGCTACCCTTTTCTATTTTTTATGATATTCTATTTATTTGTTATGATATTGCAGTGTCTATTCATAGGTCGAATTTTAATACAAATCTGTTGTCAAAATGAATTAAATGAAATGAACATTTTACAATGTAGAATACTCCAAACCCGAAAAAAATATATTGTCACTGTGAGTATTTGTTTGACCCAGTTTGTTCCTTAATAAATCTTCTGTCCACGCCCTCTTGCTACGGGGTAAACGGAAACTTTTATGAAATTTGTGATACTCCGTCAGTTTCACTTGACACGTAATGAACTCTCAACGAAAAAACGTTTGAGGTGAAATCATTTAAGCACCTCTTTTCATACAACGCCTTATTAATAAGTACAATGTCATATCCCAATTTGGGATACTTGATGTAATAGGGTTTCAATATGCTAACATTCTCTTCTTTTTTTAGCATTTAAGAAATTAAAAATACTAATTTAAATGTAAGGAAAACGCATAAAAACAAAAATATTTGTTGTTTTTTGTTGTTTTGCGGCCGTTTGTTGTTTGTAGCCCGATTTAATTATTTCAATTCTAAGACAAAAGTCATGTAAATATCACTTTGGTGATACGGAAATGTGCATTACCATGTAATCTCTTAGATAAAAGGTTTTATCTACTGCTTTTGCAGTAATATTTAAGGTCTAGGACTGATTTTCCATTTTTTATTTTTACATTATTAATAAGTACAATGAAAAATAATTCCATCTTCTTAAGGTAATACACGATTATAACAATATGTTAGTACATTGTATGTAGTAATAATTTTCAACATGATTGTACACTGTTTAAAATGTTGTCCTCATGGGCTTTTGGCCTTCAGGATATTTTATGAAATAAAACTTTGAAAACTTTGTCATACCTATTTGCAGCAAAAACATACTTGAAATGGTTAAAAATAGCGTGTAAGGACATCGCTCACTATCTTTTGATATAAAAATTTAAGCAATAAATTTATATCTACATAATTTTAATGTTGAAAGGAAAACACAACAAAATAAATCAATATTTTTTTTTTGTTGATCTCGCTGCCATCTTGTATATTTGTATTTTTACCCGATTTAATGGAGATTTCGGAATCTACAGACATGTTAGTAATATCACTTTTGGTGATACGGTAAATTGCAATAAAACCATGTCATCTCTTGGACTAAAAATGTTTTAAAATTTGACTGTTGACAAAATTTCGCAGTCAAAATATTTAAGTTTGCCTCTAGGACAGTGACTTTTTAATTTGTTTTTAATCAAAGAAAACTACATGTAAAAACATCTGGAAAGAAAATCATCCGTCGGAAGTATTAATCACAACAAAATTACATGAAAATGGCAGACTCGATTTGATTGAGTCTGTACATGAAGGATAATGAATAAATACAACATCCCTTACGACACCTAGCACCGGCTTGAGCGGTACTCAATTCTGGACACTTAATAGTGCTGGCATCAATGATACCGAAGGACCAAAAAATATATAAATGAATTAATATGTTACTAAAAGTTGATTTCTTTTCTAAAAATTGCTAGAAGCCTCTTTAGGAAAACGTACTGAGGCAAATCTTATAGTTATCGAACCATTAACTTCTGCTTTCCTGTACGAGTCTCATGAGTTTGCCCCGAGTAAAAGTAATACCACACTTTTCCATGTAACACCACCATTGTTTGCCTCGAAAGTGTTTAATAGAAGACCGATTTCAATTATGAACTGAATAAATATAATTTTATTGAATATACTCACAGTTGAATATTGAATGGCATTAACACAACAGAAAAGTAATTTACCGTTGTCATAGTCTGGCGGAACGTTGTTTTGAAAAGTCTGATCCTCTTGGGTAATGAAATCAAGAAAGTCTTTCCTGAAAGAATACAACAATATTGAATTTAATGCTTTAGTAAGTCATTCAACAGAATTTAACTTTTACACTGGATCAATAAAATGATAAAAAGATAAGTAGAACAGGCTTTATAGCCGCGATCATACATGGACAGGCTCAATGAACAAAATAAATTGTTGCCATTTGGCCGTTTTTGTACGATCCTTCGATTTCATTTTTGACTATATATGTGTCATGCAAATCATTAGTTGAGATTTTTGCACTGTCTTTGCAAAGAATCACTCTTAAAATTAGATTTGACTTAAAAGTACATTTATATATTTCAAACGACATGACAACAATTTAAATGATAGATATTTAAAACTGTTAACATATCAAATGTGGTTAATACATATTTATTTTGAATATACCAGATATGGTGGTAAAAAGTTATACATGTATAAAAATAAGATATTGCTAGAGATGTCGTTATATTTATCATTTTTCCTACAGAATATATAAATAGTTAATTGCTTGATATGTTAATAATTCGTATTCTAAAACGATATAATATCAATTTTTAACGTTTAAGTGTAGGTGCGTGTATTTGTTAAAACAATTGTAAATGATGTTGTCATGAATTAACACATAAAATTGATATGTTATTGAACCATCGCAAAATAACTGTATAAAACATTATCGAAATATGTAGATTTCAAACACATTTGACTTTCGGCTTCCTTGTTTTGAAAAAAATGGATTGTACAATTGAAGTTGATTTGAACTAAAACAGTTATAGAGTCATATGAATCATGGAAAGACATATCTGGCTAAAGATCTGTTTACTAAAAATATGTATGATTCATAAAGACCATAATGTTTGCACTTGAATAAGTAAACAGGTTCTTATCGACCATCTGTAATTAGGTACTGGATATGTTATAAATTACGGACCCGGCAAGAGTACATTTATACGATATTCAATTATGTCTTTTTCTTGCAAACAGCTTCTTGAAATCTATTTAAAGCCAAATCCAAGAAAAACTTATTTATCATATGTGTTAAAATGGTTGCTGATAATAAAATTCTCAAAATTTATTTCTTGTATCATCATGTAGCATCTTCAGATTTTACTGCCACTATGAGACATTCAAATATATGGCAGCTAGTATGACAAAAACACCAATAATTATTACTAAGAATATAAAAATTTACGTTTTTCTACATTAAATCTTACACCAACGACACCTCAAACTTATCAACGACACCGCAATTATGTTTAAAGACTCCTGCTTGAATAGTGTAATAATTCAAATCGAAAAAGACAGCTTTCACGTGTAATAAGCTTCTCTTTTTTTTTGGTTTAAAAACGCTTATATGATTTTAGAAATGGCAAATTTACCCTATCTTTAAATAATGTATAAAATTGAAAATAAAGTGTTATCCTTTGTCAATGGATTGTGTGCTTAACGATATTTTATGGCAGTTGAAACCTGTAATGTTGGACAAATGATGGATATATGTGTGAGGTCACAACGCCACGTATTTTTTGAGTGCATATACAAAAAATGTAACTTCAGAAAGCTTTTTCGTGTTTCAGAATACTGCGAACCACTATACTTTGATTTAAATAGTAGTTTAATCAAACTTTTATGTTAAGACTACCTGTAAGATTGTCTGGTGGAACAGCATAATATAATATATCTTCAACAACAAAATTGTTGATATCAGTAACTACTGTTCCTTTATTATTAAACATCACAATTGTCGTTTTCTTTTGAAAAGATACAAACAATTTCTGGCGAATTTGATTTCCAATTTATTATCTCAACGTGTACAATGTTGACCGTTTAAATAATTCATGTTCATAATCTTGGACAATAATGTTTTCTTGATACTTGAACGAAATATTATCTAATTATTTAAGTTATAATGAATTTTATTGAATTTTACACTTTCTTATGATTTATTTCATTTTTTTTATTGTAAAACTACTTTGATATTGTTTTCGAATCTGGAATAACACATGTATATCTTTCAAAATAATACCATATACATGCCATGAACATCAAAAACAAAATCCAATACAAACGTGAAAAACAAAGGTTTATCTTTAACGAATACTTTTAATTACTTGTATTAAAAAATAAATGAAAACAGCTTCCGGAATAAGTTTGCAAATCCGGAAATTCGCAAACTCAGCTACCCTTTCTTAAGTAATAAGAGAATTAATGAAGAGGTCATGCAATAATGGGTATAACGTTAGGCAAAAACTGTTTTTTAAATTTCACATACCCCTATCAATGAGTGCTGGGGAGACAATCAAAGTTGGGTCCCCCATGGGGTTTTATCATTCTCCCACTATGGTTTGCTATCCCATGGGATGAGGCATATATGAACCACACTTTAGACGTTCTTTTCAATTTGATGATCTTTAAACTATAACAGACACTTATTTATATTTAAACAAGATAAGCTTTTTAATATTTTTAAGATAGTTTTATAATGACATTAAGAAGTCGGTAAGCCCTATCGACCATGGCAAATGTAAAAGCTTTTCCATCAATAAAATTATCAGAAACTCAACTTTACTATATTGATATATTTAAATCATAATAAATGAAGTAAATATGAACTCGAGCAATTAATCATATGATTTCAATGACATATTAAGTTCCTCTTATGTTTATTACATAATCGTGTATGATTTAAATGCAGCATTCGTAGCTAATCAATTTACACGTGTAAAGCAAACAATGGCTAATTGGAAAAATATGTTTATATAAAACATATCGAATAACAATAGAAATGGCAAGTAAACAAATGTTTATCAATCATTCTATTTTCAGCTTTTCATGTTTATACCGACTGTGGGGGAAATTTAATAATGTATTGTCATGACCGCCATATAAAAATCACTAAGTGAATTATGCTGTTTATTTATCTCATTTTGTTTCAAGATAAAATATATAATCGTTATCATATGTTGAAGTTTAGCAGACTACAACCTTTGCAATCACCGCGATCCGGCAGTGTTAAATTATCTTAAATGACTTGTAATTCATGTCAATTCTTTGTAACGAGGTTTCAAATACGAATTTATAGCAGGACTGATCGAATATGTTCTATATGTCCTCCTCCTATTTCCAGATTTTTATTATCAAATAGTTGTCAAGAGATGTGAAGTAGATGTCAAAAAATTGACCCGTACATCATTCAGTCTTGTTATATTTTACTAGTCCTTTAGGGTTTGTTTTTATGTCAATAAGGCTTGTCATTAAATATTGCAATATCGATATATTGTAGATATTTATCTGTCAAATAAACATCCAACTATATACATAATTTGGAATATCGAATTAAATTGAAGCCCAATTCTCCTTTTTTATGCAACTATATATGTTTTTTTTTTTATTTTGCATGAATAGAATCGTCTTTTTTCTCATTGTTTCAAGTCAAGCTTGAAACCTGAATTGATTTTAAGAGGCAATTGAGACTTATTATCAAGGAAATATACTTTCTTTTCGTTATGTTAAATAATGTTGTATGAATGATGCCTAAAACAAGCACAGTATTTTGCACTTTCCAGTAGCTTCAATTCACTGGTTCAACCAAATCGAGCCTGCAACATTTTTAATATTGTCGTTTTCGGCGAGCTATAGAGATTTCGTTTGTTCTCTATTTTAATATATGACCTGTTCCAACGTCTCCTGACCTTATGATAGACAAAAATGTATTAGTTAACTTTTCCTAACAATTGTTAATAAACATTAGGAATATTAAAATAGCAGCCGAGATAAACGAAAGTTCAGTCAGAGAAATAAGCGTTTTGCCACAAAAACGTTTAGAAATGATATCACAATGTTAAGTATATATTTTTCTGTTAAGTCTGTATTTCTTATATGCTTGCCATTAAATCTGAAGGTGTTTTGTTAACATTAATCAAACTATCGATTAAACAAACAGCTTCATAATAACCAAGGATTTCATTCTTCCGAATCTACATGTATTAAGATTGTGTATTCTTATATCACCCATTGATAAGGTAAAACGTACTTAATATTGTCTTACAGAATATATGCCTATGATTTTGATATTTGTAACTTGTCTTTAACATTATCAATTACAAAAAGCCGGACTCTATGTCTGTTTACCAATATTTACTGCTAGTCAATTCACAGAACATGAAGTAAATTACTAATTAGTGTGCGATGCATTTGACTTTGTACATATATAGAAACATCGCTCTAGTTATCTTTTGAAAACTTGAATTATACAATCATATATTCTACGATTACATTCATTGCACTAAGGAATTATGGCAATGTGTTATGAAACAATATACAAAAAAAACATAATTTTCCGAGTTGAGGAATGTTCATTCTCTAATCAAATACCAAATTGTAATTTAAAGTAAGGTTGTTGACCAATGAAAAAAGGAGCAAATACACATAATGGAAACAGAACGACGGTTTCTTACATTAAATGCCAATATGGGAAAGTATTTATTTTTAGTGTCACTTTTAGTTGCTCAGTTAAAAAATGAATATAATAATGGTAAGCCACTACGTTTAAGTGTTCCATTTTGTATGCCTTTTGACTTCTTAAATAACGCATTATGGTTTAAATCAACACACAATGTTGCAAAGCAATATAAAATCAATGTCTTATCTCATTTTAAATATTCCTTATTAATATAAATAACCTTGTGAAACCATACATAATAAGATAAAATATGAAAATTAAGATCATCAAGGAAGCCCAGCAATACACCAAACATGACCAGGCACACAATAAAACCCTGAACAGGATGTCATTATAAATTAAACGACATCATTACTCTTAAAATACTTTCCACCAATGTAAAGTAAAAATTGTTCTGAAATAGCATCTACGAAAATGAAAGACATCAATTTGGAAATACCAAGCATGCCAAACCTTTTTTATGTTTCAATTGGCATCCTTATTTCAACAAGTAAATATAGAGGGAAGTATGAATAAACACGTGCCAGATTCGTTTTTGCACACAATGTATGACAAGTAACAACATTACTAACAAGAACATATTGAATTACCTGGGCTATGCGCTTTAAACATAGATCTACATTTGCCTTAACAAGAAAATAGAAAATTTACATTGACTGGTAAAATATCATATTAATTCCGACGCAATTGCTTTTCTTTTTTTTCTATTTATTATTATTTTTTAATAAAAAGATTGGTGAAAAAATATGAATTTTCATTATTTTTTTATATATAAAACATTTTCTCTTTACAATTCTAACCCTGATAAAACCAAAATTGATTAGCCTTTGCCACGTCAGAAATGGCTCTGTACTGTTGGTTTGACTAACTAAGAGTTTTAAACAACAGAAGCTTAACGTATCCAACTATCTTTTAGATAAATGCAACAAGTTTAGGGATAAAAAATTTGCATGATGTGTCACATTATAGAGTATATTTGTTTAATTTTCTTTTGTGGAACAATTTATATTTCACTGTAAGGTAATCAAAATGTATCACTTTCACTGAAAAGCATGCAATAATGTTTGATTTTTCTTGTTTTACAGGTCTGCAAACAAATATCAGTTATTAGACAGTGTCGATCAATCAATGTGGTCTTTTAATTAATCGTTTGTTTGATCTAAAACCAATTTCAAGACAGTATGTTTTGTGTCAAATGTAACAAGATATGATCCAAGGACATTTGAAGTATTTCGCCCAAAAGTAAATATAATGTTAAACAGTGTCCACAGTGTTAGCTTTACTTTGAACATTTCACTTAGTATAGCACATAACCAATCGTGTATCATTTGTTATTAGCAAGTTACCATACATATATTTCTGTCACATCCTTATAACAGAATAGTATTTAATCTCAAAACGTTTACATATTAATGAAAGTATATGTGTTGTTTTGTGAAAAATTTGATGCATTTGAACTGTCAGTTAAATAAGAATAGATAGCTTTTACAGAGCAAAAGTTTCGGACATAAGATATCAATCTTCAGAGTCACTTTAAAATTGCAACGTTATAGACAGAAATAAAATAAGATCAATTCGATAAATGATTAAACTAAGAGTTTAGAACTTTATATTGATACATGTAGTATTTGAAATCATATGTGAGAACAAACTACGAAAGAATTATATATGGATGGTGTTGTAAGGTGTGTTTGTTTGGTTGTGTTCATTGAACGCCGCCTTTCCTTGTTGATCTTGTTTATCATATTTTAACAGCGCACCAACACAGTATAGGTCATATGGCGCCGAAACAGATAAGATAATTGTGGTGCAAATTTTAAGCAACACATGGGGTCAAAACCACCTCACTTGCTTGAGCTAAAAGTTGCATTAACTAGAGTTTTTCATTGACAATTAGTCGTTTTCTTACAATTTTTTTGCCTCAACCATTAAAGGCATCCCAAGTAACAAGGGGCAAATGAAAGGTACATGATCCAATTATACATATTTATTTCTACATATAGATATCAGAAAATAAATAGTTCTTGAACAAAATGCTATTATTCATCATTTAAATATCCGTACTACATCACTTAGACTGTCAGTACTTTTTATCTTTTTACATTTTAATAACGATATGCATATACAATATTTCTCATATCTTTAACATATCGAAAAGATGTGCTTATTTTAAAGCAATGCACTTTAAGTTTAATACGTGTACAATTGTTGACTGCACAAAAAGAGGTCATCCCAAATTCTTGTTATTATTCAATAGCCAGATTAAATATTGGTTTTTAGAGTCATGTTTGTTATGAAAATAGATAAAATTTATTACATTGCTTCATAGGCGTCAGTTTGCAATGTTCGTTTTATTGAACTATGATGCTGCACGCAAACTGCACGGAAAATAAGTCTGTTAAGAATAGAAAAAATCCCCAGAGTATAAGAATTTATACCAATCTGTTGAGCAGAGCATACAAAATGATATTTGATATTTCTAAAATATGTTCCACAAAGTTTTTACGTTATCTTTCAAGAGCATTGTTTACAATGAAATGTATTTTGACACACAATAAAATATACATGTAATAGATAAAATAACTTATGTAAAATATGTAAACAAGTCCGTTAAGTAAATCTGTATTTTCGACGTATTTAACAGTGCTTACAATTAACTTCATTTATCACATGACTATTTTTTTCACCTTCAAACTACTTAAAGGTCATCTTACTTTGAATTTCAGTCAAATGCAGATATGCAGATTATAAATATGATAAATTCTTGAACACTATGGATAAAGCACGTAAAAATAAAATTTACAAAACGTTTATTCTAAGGATTTGCTTGATATGATTGGAATGCTCTTTGATGGT